ATATGAGAGAGAGGGAAAGGGAATGTTTGGATAAGAGACAATGTGCATGAGAGAGACTATCTACATATAAAAGTGTTGCCAGCAAAGCAACTGCATAACCTATACCAGCCAAAGATTTTTTTCCCCCTCCAGTATAACTGCTTTCTGCTAGCACAGCAAAGTCTGTTGAAAGAAAAGAAAAAAATATCACACTCCCAACCAGCACAGATGTGCTGGCAAAACTTTTTAGGGCAGAACGAGCCAGAGAAAGACGGTGATGTGTGCACGCCACAGACAGCAAGAGGGGGGTGTGTGCAAAAGAAAGAGAGACAAGTGCGTGTGCGCAAGCAGGCAAAGAATGAGGACCAAAGACAAAGCCCTGCGTCCTGGTAGAGGCACAGGGTCTGATTGCCTGCCTTGTGCCCACAGGAGGTTGCAACATGCTAGTAATATTTAATAACATGCAATTTACTGAGCTACAAGTGCCAAATATGCAACCTCAGAGGAGACTGGCTAATTAAAACCAGTGTAGCTACCACAGAGGATGTGGCAGAGAGGAGAGGGAGCTAGAGCTTGCAGTGAGAGCCGCATTTAGCCCAGCTGACTGGCAGCCTGAGCTAAGCTCCTCTTTAGTCAGAATGGGCCCAGGCTTTGAGTCTTTCCATCTTCTTCTACTTTGCACCGACTGTTAGGCTCAGGCTTTCCCCACAGGTCCACCCAGACTCCAGTGATGGTCACATGCATATGCTGGAGGACAGAACAGGGTCTCCGAGTCCTTGTCGTGGGAGATTGCTGCTCCATTTTAGTTTCATTAACTAGTCTGGGCCAAGATCCCCCAATGTGACTAGTGCCTGCCCCTGGTTTTCCAACTTGAGACCCTGTAATGGGGCCTGGTTCTTAGCAATGCTGAGCACCCACCCTCCGAAAACTCAGGCCCCTGTAAGGAGTCTCAGTTCAAACCTCCACACGTGGAAGCACCCGAATCACTAGGCACCTGGATAATCTTGGTCTCTGCTTTGGCCGTGGATCACTGCATAGTAAAGGCACTGTCTTAGTGTCTTTCCTTTACCAGTAGACAAGACACTGGCAGTGTGGTGAAAGTGGGAATTTTTCAGATCATGCAGTAGTGCAGGGGAGGGCTGGATTCTGAAACCAAAGCCTTCCTTCTTCTCTTTATCCTGGGCGCGTCTATGCATTCATTGGTGCATTTTTGCTAATGAGCGTTAATTCAGTGGGAGCTTTGCTGTTGAGCTCCGTGGGTGCAGGGCTGAACCTGAAACCCCTACACAGTTTTGACTTGTGGAAAGCTGGAAGGGGTCTTTTATTAATGAGTAGGTGAGATGTGCAGGGTTTTCTTAAAACTGCAGTTTACCTTAACTCTCCAGGGGTACACCCCAGAGGTCCACTTCATCCACGCTAACAGTGGCAGGGGTGAAGAGTATGGAAGGGCCATTTTTATAACTTTGTGGTGCTTCTTGTAGTCCAGCCTTTTCCCTTCAAGCCTTCGCTGTCCTGCCAGGAGCGCTCCCCACATTCCCAACTGCCAGGAGCATATTTTTCTGAAATGCCAGAATCTCACTTTCGCTAGCTGCATGCACAAGGGAAAACCCTTGTCTGAACACTGGCTTTCCACATGCTTTAGAGCACATCACTCATCCCCAGACTGTGCTTCAGCTTGAGAGCCTTCTCCAGGAAATGTCTTTGGAGTGACTGTAGCATCTCGAGTTGGCCACGGCGCCTGTACAATTTAGAGTTATTTTTAGTGATTCTGCTGCTGTCTCTTAGTGTGTGTGTGTGAATATCTTGGTTCATCTATGTGCAAAGATGTCAGCTCTGAAGCAGCAATCAGTGCTTGCTCCAGGCATGTGTCCAGGACAGTATGTACAACTGGAACAAGTTGAAAAGAAGGAAGAATCCCTAAAAACAGTTGGAAGGACTTGTTCTTAACTTTATTGTTGGAGCATTGGCCTGGAAGGCATCCCTGCATCTAGGCCAACCCTATAAAATCCACATAGGAGATGCTTTAATGAATGGAGAGGACTAGCAAGTTGGAGCTTCAAAGCATTCCAGCTTTTATATAGGACATAAGCAACGGGGAAAAATGCTGATCTGAAGGGACATAGGAGCAAAGGCAGCATCTTGTGGTTAAGGCACTGAGCGGGGATCAAGGTGATGTGGGATCAGCTCTCCCTTTCACCATTGTCCTCTATTGTGATCGTAGTCCAGTCCCTTTTTGTTGCTAAGCCTCAGTTTCCATATCTGTAAAATGGAGTTAATTTGGAGTGTGTTGCCCGGATATGTACATTAATGATGCTGATGTGCTCTGGTGCTGTACTGACAGAGGCCGGATAAGGACTCAGAGAAATAGGAACATCTTAATTAGTCAGTTTTTCCCTGACTAATAAAATAAAGGGGATGGTAGGGTGGGGTTAAGAGCAGAGGGGTGGGGAGAGCAAGGGCAACAGGCTTAATCCATATAGAAAAGCTAGGAACCAAATTCTGCACTGGCCTCTACCACTGCAGCCATGCTTCTTTCTGTGGGATTGCACCAATGTAAATGAAAGGAGAATTTGGGCCTCGCTGCCGGATGGAGTTCAAGGAAGGCACCGTATGAAAAAACAAGCTTGTTTCATGGAAAAAAAAACCCTGTCTCCAGAGGAACTCCAAAGCCTCAACCACAGTCAGCCTACTTAGCTGAGCACTAGGAAAATATGGTGCAAAGAGCAGCCTTGCATTGATCAAAGCCACACGCTGCGTAGGAAGCGATCCGTCTCCTCCAGCCTTGATACCAGCTGAATTGGAAGAGTGGAAGAGGAAGCAGGGAGTGGCCGGCGGTGTTCTTGCTTGGCCCTCCTGGATGCAGATTGTTGCCCGTGGGGAACCGGGAACACAGCGTGGGTC